AAGAGTCAGGCCACTGAAGAACATCAAAACAGGTCAAGACCTTGATGCAAAGGTCTTGCCTTCAAGCAACAACACTGATACACTGAGATGTGAAACTGGATAATTTCTGATGGGGTAGTTTTGACTGACAGCATGCATCGCCTGCTTGCTGGTCACCCTGCAGTGAAAAGTCAGCTTTTGAAGCCTTCCCCCACAGGTGGACACTGCTGAGTTACTGCAGAACACGTGCAGCATCACCTCTGATTTTCTCCAGAAGAAACATCTGCTTGCCCAGAAAGAGATACTCATCAGCCCCATCAGGTCTGCCCACTACTGATCTGGAAGCTACAAGAGCGAAGTGAACTGGTCCTGCAAGATACTTCCAGTACAATGGCCACAAGGGAACACAGCCTATCTCAGGTCTTCAAGAGGAGGAAAAGCACCCCCAGCCAGGGCTGCCAAGGCAAATTTCAGGCTCTTTGCCCCATAGCTCACTCTTCAGAGAAACTTGTGACCTGTTCCTGATCTGTTCCCTCGTGAGCACCCTCGGACCAAAGAACGAGACATCAAGCAAACACAACACTGATTCCAACAAGGTAATGTGACCTTTGCTCATATCTGTGTTTCTTCAGTGAGATGTTAGTATATTGGATTTAGGACCAGCTGTAATTTGTAACTCAACCAAACCCCATTCCAAGTCTAATATTACCCGTATGAGAGAAAACAGACAGTAAAAATTCAGCTTGGATGTCACCATTGACTGGATCAATTAAGTCATAATTACTTAAAGGATAATGAAAGTTGCTTTCCAGGGAATTCTCTTCTGCACCTTTCACCTTTGCACCAGCAAATGGAGCCATTTGCTGACACTGAGTTGACAAAGCACAGAAGTCCTATATAAACTGCAACACACTCCAGTGAGTTTCCTGATCAAGTGCCTTGATATACAGCGTGATTTGCAGCAAGCCTGTTAAGTGCCTCCCCAAAGGAGCCTGCCCTCCCCATCGCCTTTGTCCAACAGTCTCTAGTTCCTCTTCAAGCACAAAGTCAGCCTCCTGCCAGGTCTCCGTGAGAGTTGCTTAGCCCTGACCCCTCCAGAGACACAGAGGCTCTAGCCCATGCATGCAGGCACCTCCAGTGCCATGGCAGCTGCTGAAAGGCTCTGTTCAAGTCTAATCCCTCCTTCCAGCATGGCATGGAGAAGGTCTTAAGGCTTAAGCCACTCCATTTCCTACCCACATCTAGGCCTCTTGCTTGAGGTTTCATGGTGGCAGGTCAAATCCTCATCACACAGGGAAGAGACGACAGGGGCCAGTCCTGCTATTCCTCCTTAGATCCAGACACCAGGATACAGTGAAATAGTGAATGGTTCCCTATCGCTGTGCTTCCTGCTCCCTTCTAAAAGTCTTGTGCAGGGTGCTTCTCCCCCTCCTTCTTGCATATCCTGGATCCCAAAAAACTCCCCCAAATACTCTCTGCAGCACATCCTGTGGGACCTCCAACATCAAAGGTGCTTTCCTTCCCAAAGGTGGGAAAGCACTGAGCACATTCTCTCCCCTCTCTTCTCATCCATGACTGTCCAGCTAAACAAGCCACACTACTCACAGGAAAATTGTGATACAATTTTGAGGTCTTCCTCAATTTAAAAAGGTCTCGCATGCATCTCTGTCTCTCACCTCCTTGACCCCTGCTAGCCTGCCCAACCTTCTGTGTATGACAGAAGGACCAAGCTCACACCTTGCTAGAACTGGCAGCTCTACTGAAGCCACAGCAGATTGCTTCCCTGGCTTCAGCTCATTGTCATCCTGAAGGCTGGGAGCCCCAGGTATGATCCAAATGCAGCAAGAAGTTGGTGCTGGAAAGGAGTGTGGTGACAGCAGTGATACTGGGCAGAGATCAGCATGAAATGCAGCTGGCAGGTGTTGTGGGAGGTAATGGCACTGTGCTTAGGGTTGAGGAAACCTTCAAAGAAACCCTTCCAAGTTTTCTTTGGCCACCTCCTACGTGGGTTAAGGTGAAACGGGAGCTTGAACCTAAAGGGCCCAGCATCTTCCACCCTGAACTAGATTCAGGCATCTCTACAATTCCTTCTATGGACCTGGAGGCAAGATCTGGCCCTTTCTGCTGATCCTCCTTGCAGCTGCCACCACCACAAAGACTGGCAGTGGCAGCAGAGAAACGCTCAGTGGCTGTGTAGAATTAGCCAACTGGGGCACCAGCAAATTCTAAACCCTGCAAAGCCTGCAAGAGGCAGCCCAGAAAGAGAAGAGACACCACCCAAAACCCATTTTAATTTTGCAGACACATCTCCTTCCCCAACGCAAGCTTGGACATAAGCTGCCACATCTTCAGGGAAGAGAAGCGTTAGGGAAGGCAAACAAAACCCTCCTGGTATGTCAGTCAGGAGAAGGGCAAGAGGAAAGCCCTCTGACCTGCCATGCTGTCCAGGAGAGCTGGCAGGGCCAGCCAGGAGCTGACAGAGAACAGGTAAAGCTGGAGTCCCCCAGCTCCAGCTCTGTCTTCCAGCAAGCTGCCACTAGCGTAGCCCAGCTGCCACAGGGACCTGAAGAGCAAACATATGCTGCAACATGGGAAATCCTCCAGATATTAGAAAACACATTTTCACAAGGGTGGCCAAACACTGGGACAGGGAGGCGAGAAATCTCCATCCCTAGACACAGTTGGCATTCAATAGGACTGGGTTCTCCACAGCCTGCTCTAATGTCAAAGCTGGCTCTGCCCTGAGTGGGGAACAGGGCCGGAGACCTCTGCAGTACCCTTACTTCCCAAGTCAGCCTATGATTCCTATGGCAGTTCTGACGCTGTTCACAGTACTTCTGTGGGTAAGGGATGACGGTACCTGAAACTTGAGCCAGTTTTTGAAAAAAGGGCATCGCAGCCCCACTTCTCTGCACACCAACATTCACTCAATTACTGCATGCAAAGCTGGGAAAGGTGAAAGAGGCAGAGGCTGCACATCTGCAAAGTACTGGCTGTCTAGATGTGGTGTGGACCCCTGCTGCCACCCAGCATCTTGCTTATTTCCCCAGCCTGCTGGGACTTCGGTATGGCTACGTGGTGGAAAAGCACTGGGCTGATAACTTTGTATACTGATGATCTCCATATACCCACATTATCAACATCCCCTGCCATCGTGCATGTAACTAGCCCAGGAGAAACCATCCTGTGACAAATATTCAGCCTCTATGGCACATGCAACCATCGGCCTAACAAGAGCCCTGCTGGTACCATGCCACGGATTCCCCTACATCCCCCCAGAAAATATGACTAGCTGCTGTCCATCATGCTCCCCAGTTGGTGCAAGAAGCCATGAAAAGTCAACTAATGGACTTGAGACAAATGGCTTAAAGATACTTTTGCACTGAAGTATCATATTCTTCAGCAAAGACTCCAGGTGCTTTGTATCTGAGGTCATTCTCACATCAGCAGCACTCCCATTTTCATGGAAGATGTGATGCATTTACTACGTCTTCTGCTGAAGAAGCAATTTCAGATGCAAGATGCTTTCAAATTCAGAAGAGTGACCATCACATGCAAAACACATAAAGATACCACCAACTGCAGTGGCAGGCAACTAATGACCTGAATATCAGAAGGCAGCTTCCCCCTTAGGCAGGTAGCCCCTTGTGCCTCCCCAAAGGGCCATTCTTACTCTCAGCTCCTGGAGGTAGCACTGTACAGGGTCATAATCCACCACAGGAAAGAGGATCTTCACTGCAGTGCTGTTCTTCACCACACCCCGGGAAAATGACTTTAGTGGCCGGTCCACGCTCTCCAGATGCCGCGGAATCTGGTTTGCATTCAGGTGGATTAGGACATCATAGAAGTCCAAAGGAGGGCGGAAGATCATCTGCAGGGAGAAAAGACCGCCGCTACTATAGGACACAGGTGAAGAAGAGAGATGAGAGACATTTCCCAACTCCTTGCTTGCATTTTATTCCCTTCCCCTTAGAAAGTTGTAAACCAAAGCCAAAACTTTCATGAGATTAATGTCAAGTTTGCCAAAACATCCACAAGAAAAATACAGCTGTACTGGAGCCACGGGGAGCTCCAGCCCATACAGGTCCCCTGCTCCCTCTGGGCTGAGACATGTCCCTGATCCAGCATGGGCTCTGCTCACATCAGAAGGATGTGACACTCACCCCCCTATACTCCATGCAAGTGCTGTAACACGGAGTCTGATGAGCACAAGGTGCTTCCCCCATGGCCATTTCCTCATGGACAGGCTAAATGTTCTCTGGACCAAAGTGCATCAGGGAGGACATACTTGATTGCCACAGCCCAACTGTACAGCAAGCTCAACCTTTACAGAAGGGAGATGCTCCCTACTTACATCAGACATCTAGTCAGAAGGACTACACTCTCCACCCTATTGGTTTCCCAGTTCAGCAGAGAAATCTAACCACTGTCCCCAGGCCTTGGGGACAGTCCCTGCAGAAGAGCTTGCCACAGGGCCAACATGGTCTTCTCCAACCCTGACCAGAGACCCCAGGAAGCCCACCTGAGCGCACAACAGTGCGGTGGGCAGTCAAGAGGAGGATAGATGGTGAGCTGAGGCAGGTAACCACACTGCACATGACAGAGTGTCATAACGAAGAGGGGAGTCAAGAAGCTAACAGGAGCCAAATGACACTCAGGGGACATGAGAACCTGTGTAATAACAGGATGGTCCCATGCGTCCAACAGAAGTTGCCCCAGTGGGCAGCAGCATCTTCCCTAAAGCAGACAGAGAGTGAGAGCAAGCCCTGTTAATGGAGGGGAGCAATCCCAGATACATAAATATTTGGACAGGCAGGATCTGGCACAGTGGATACAGCTATATTAAAATGGAAAAAAAACTTATATGTGTACGTTTTTGTGGAATAAATGATGCAGGGACATGAACAGAGGCATGGGACACCGCCTGACTTGGTGCTGGCAGAAAACCCGCTGCTCAGAGTTGGTTTATAGCCAGGCTGGGGAGAACACACATGAAGAACAGTGACCAGCACTAAGTCCCAGCTGTGGTCCACACAGACCCCACTTTCCCAGCTGACCAAGTCCACAGCTTATTGAACTCCCCTGGGAGCAAAGAAACAGATCTCACAAACCCATGTCTTCATCTGCATAAGAGCAGCATGTCCCCAAGCAACTCAAATGAAGACAATAAAAACCAACTTGGAGCACCCTCTTAGATACAAGGGAAAAGAAGTCAACTCCAAGTTGCACTGGAAGGGCTTTTCCCTCCTCTGATCACCACTTTGCTTACAAACAGATTATCAGCCCTGGAAACAGCATCCTGTGTTTACCCCTAAGGAATGTCATGGGCCTGGGAGGATGCTGGCACAGAGCAGAGGGACACCCTGGGGATAAGAAAGGATCCTGCTGCAATGGCTAAGGGGAGGGGAGGGGGAAGGAGGACTGAGAAGGCTGAGTCAAGGGGTTGGGAGGACACTATGGATAGGCAACAGCTTGTCTTGGGTCTGGCACTGCAACTGCAGCACATGGGGCACATCTCACATGTACAGTGTCTCACCCCTTCACAACTCAGTAACACACTGCCCCTGCCTCAAGTAGAGCTCAGCCTTGTAATACTTCCAACACAAAACACAGCAGAACTGAAAGCAACATCAGTAAATCCTTTTTATATTGCCTAGGCAAGAAAAGCAAAACAAAACAAAACACACTATGTGGGTTTTTTTCCTAATGTAAATCTGTCATATCTAACCACTATTTGGCTTTTTGAGTCCTCTCAGCTTCAGCTGCCTAAGTCACTACTTGGTATGCCAACAAGTTCCCCTTCAAAACACACATATCTCCGTTCAAAGGGCAAATAACTGTCTGCATGTCCCCGGTCCCTTTGAGTAATGGATGTTTTAACTTAAAAGAGAAAATTAAGAGGTTTAAAATACCTATGGCCTTGGTCCTCTGCTCAAACCAAAATAACATCTTCCTAAAGTGCCTGTTAGCATCCTACAAAAACCTCCACCACCCTGGACTTGGTTAGACTCAAGCACACAAGCCAGATTTGCAAAGTTACATCAAGACAGTGCCTCCCAGAGGCACCATTTGCTCCAGCCATGGACATGTGACCAATTCTGCACAGCAACACTCCAGGTTTTCCCCATGCGCCCTGAGAAAACCAGAGAATACAAAATAAGTGTTTTCCAGTTGGTGGTATTTCACTCCAAATTTCTATCCAGAGCTGGGTTCCCCAGAAGCAGGGTAGCACAGGGGGGCACCAGTGTCCCAGCTCCTATCCTTCCTGCTCTCCATCCTGGGGCAACCATGCATGGCCACAGCCTGATCCTACTAACACATCCCAGCAATCACCACTGAAGACCAATACACATTGCCAGAGTCTGAAAACTCTTGTGCTGGTACCCCAAGGGGTTACCTTCACATCCTGGCTGCTAAGTGGGTCCATGAGCTGCTCCTCCAGGGCTCGGAGAGACTCTGAGGCCAGCACAAGAAGGCGCTGCAGGATCTGAGGAGGGATGAAAGCCAGAGGGTAAAACTCGGCAGTCCTGGATGTAGCAGGGACCCCACTCACCCAGAGGGCCACTGGAGCTGGCTCCAGCACTGGGAGCGGGGAACTGCCACAAGCCAGCACCCACCATTGGGCAAGGACAGAGGGCACAGCTCACCTGTGCGGAAGGTCGCTCTTGGGTCCACATGGAGCTCCAGTGGTCTTTAGGGGTGGCAATGAACATGACAGGCAAGCGAGAGCGAGCCGCCACAAACTTGTTCTTGATCTCTGTGCAGTCAGCATCTGGAGAGGGGAGGCAGACGGGTGAGATGCTCTGCCCTATCCACAGCCCTCCAGCCTTCTTGCCCATGTATCGCAGCCCAGAAAAGGGCAGTACAATGGGCTTTATTCTCTTCCGCCCTCTAATCCCACAGTCCATGTGCAATCGGAGCTCCATCGCCACAGGCTTGCTCTCACGCTTCCCTCAGCACTCGGCTGCGGAAAGTTTTGGAGACAGGATGCAGGGCTAGATGGACCTTTGCTCTACACACACTCAGGCATGCCCAGACATGGCTCAAGACATGGCAGGCACCGGGACTGGGAACTCACATTATAAGCTAATGACAGAGTTTGTACCCAAAGAGTTTTCTACTATTTTTTCCCCCCTCAAGTGGGAAAACACACAGCTCTTTGGCTAAAAACATTTCCCATTTAGTTCATTAAAAAAAGCTGGAAGGTAGAAAAACATCAGTTTCCAAAACCCAATTCTGTCTCAAAAAAAGAAATTGAGAGAGTGCTGAAACCCACAGAAACAGCCGCTTCCTGCCACACTGCACTCACTGCTTCCAAGCGGCTTTACCTTTTCTTATAAACCAACTTTGCTGGGTGTAGAAATCACCCCCACACCACCACCACCCAAAGCCAAGATAATCTTGTGGTCTCTTCTGGCTCCTGAGGAAAGATGGCACATATCCAAAAGGCAATCAACAGACAAAACACAAGGAAGGGGGCAGCATGGATGGACCAACATGGTTGTTGGATGCACCAACATTCTCCTTGGGAAACCAGAGACCTTTACCAGGAAATCCTCAATGCTCAGGAAATAACAAAACCCGGAGGACTGCAGCCCTTTTCCCCTGCAGGTTTTCAAACCAGGGACTAGTAGATCATCCCTGTGATCTAAGTGGTGCACCAGTGCTCTCAAAGCAGACACAGTGCAGATGGCTTTGAAGCTTCCTGTTTAAGAGCCTAACTGCCCTCCCAGCACAACTGAAGGTTTGGCCCTCCAAGAGCCAGGGCAAAGCCTCAAGCAAAAATGCCGGCCATGAAGGAGCAGAGGGTTTCAAAAGCATGGCAGGACAGGACTAAGGCAGGGGAAAATCTCATGCCCCTGGCAGAAGCCATGATGCCTCCATGTATCCAAGATCCCTGGAGCCAGGCACTGACCAAGGAGGGCTCAAGACTCTCACACCCTGGCTCTCCTGCATGCTGCCTGCTCACCTGTGAGGCCAGCATTCAGATTGATGATCAGAGGGTTGTTTTTCCAGTCAAAGGTTGCCAGCAGGTTGAGGAACCGCAGGAACCCCACCTGGGGAGAGCTGCAGGCAAGACAAAACAGTTCAACACCAGCATTTGCTCCCTTGGCAGCAAGAGAGGCTCAGGTGTGACTTAGTGATGCCCAGCTCACACGTAGCCCAAGAAGGGATGTCCGTGGTTGAAGAGAGAAATCCAGAACAAGCATGAGATGCTTTCCCTTCTCTGAATCTCCATGGAAAGCCTTTCTCTCTTGTTCTTCCCTCCCCAAGCAAAACAAACCAGCAAGAAAAGTTAAATATTGCGCCCAGTTGCCCCACCTCCCACCACTCCCCTGACCCAGACTCCCGGGGTTGGAGCAAGAGGAAGGTGGAGATAGGACTAC